GCTCATGCGGGAGGCAACCAATCCCTGTGTCTCTCTCAATGTTTCTCTCCTTCCCTCCCTCCCTCCTACTCTCTCTTAAAAAAATCAATGGAAAGAATATCCTCGGGTGAGGATTAAAAAAAAAGAAAGAAGTAATAATGAACTCACATAGTTAAGTTTGCAGTAGAGGAAAAGGGCAGTCAAAGAATTTTATTTTCTATAAAGTAAGAGCTTATGTGTTGGACTAGAGCAGTGGTCGGCAAACCGTGGCTCGCGAGCCACATGCGGCTTCTGGCCCCGTGGCATGGGCCACGAAGTTTCAATCGCACTGTACGTGCGGGCCCCGCACGTGCTATTTTGTGAAAGAGCCACACTCTCAAGGGGCCAGTTTGCCGACCACTGGACTAGGATTCTGGAGAGGATGTGTAAAACCCTCTTTGGAGAACGAGAAAGGAGGTTGTGGAGAAACACGTGTTTTTATTACGGGCATTCAGTGATAGTAAATCGTGTGTCTGGAAGGCGGAAGGAACCTCTGAAAACAGTGTTACAGCTAATCCAGCTCAGGCTGGGTTCTGGCCTCGCGGTCCACCTGCCTGTGCGCACTCTGGGGCGCAGCCTGCAGGGTTCTGACGGATGCTGCGGTCTGGTAGGGGGTTTCCAAGGCAGGCACCTGTTCATCTGACAGTGAACCAGAAAGCAACTGCTGACCCAGAGCGTCATCTGTCCTGCTGGAGACCTTCAGTGAATGCCCAGTGTTTTCAGATACTGTTAGAACTCGGCACTCTTTTTTTAAAAATATATTTTATTGATTTTTCACAGAGAGGAAGGGCGAGGGATAGAGAGTTAGAAACATCAATGAGAGAGAAACATCAATCAGCTGCCTCCTGCACATCCCCCACTGGGGATGTGCCCACAACCAAGGTACATGCCCTTGACCGGAATCGAACCTGGGACCCCTGAGTCTGCAGGCCGACGCTCTATCCACTGAGCCAAATCGGTTAGGGCAGAACTTGGCACTCTTAAAAAAAAAGTCTCCCCGTCATTTTAGGGGTGTCAAATACCATTGATTTCAAATCAGGAAGGTTGGTAGCCTGTTTTTGCCTGTTTAGGGAAAAAGACACCCTAATATGGTTATATATGAACATTTTATTGTAAAAAGTGGAGTTGGCTGAAAATCTGAGGAGTTAGCTTTCTTCTGTCACTTAAATTTTTATTTTCAAAATAATTTCAAGTGTACAAAAAAGTTGAAAGAATAGATTTAAGCAAAGAACTTCTGTATGTTTTTTTTCAGATTTACCAATTGATGACATTTTGCCACAATTGCTTTATCATTCTATAACATATGTAGGGATATACACATACTATTTCCCTGGTCAGTTTTGTTTTATCTTTGTAATCATAATCTAGGACAGTCCTTTCAGGATATAGATGAGAATATCGAAGTGCAGAGGAATTAAATGAGTTAACTTAGGTTTTGCCTAGGAGCTGGGACTCAGTACCCGAGTCCTCTGTCCCAATCCATGTTCTTTTTCTGCTTTGCTATCTTTTACTTGACTCTCCCGATGAATAGGCATTCTCTACAGAGAGAATGTCCGCAGATACTCTGAAGTCATCAGTGCTCCAACTTTTTAGTACCAAGACGATTTTCATGCTTAAAACCGCTGAGGATGATGAGTATGTTGACTCTCTTTTTGTGGTGATGGCATACACATGTTGAAATTTATCAAATTGTACACTTTAAATATGTGCAGCTTATTGTACGCCAATTGTACCGCAATAAAACTTTATAAAATTAAGGACCCCAAAGAGCTTTTTTGTTTCTATGGGTTATATCTATCAGTATTTATCAAACTAGATATTAAAATGGAGGGACTTTTAAACTATTATCTATATATATAAAAGCCTAAGTGACTGTTAGGACCAGACGACTGGCCAGTAGCTATGATGCGCACTGACCACCAGGGGTGTGGTTAGTGTGCTCTCACAGCCAACTTCCTGCAGCCGGCCAACCTCCCGCGGTCCCTCCCCCCGCTGGCCGGCCTGATCAGGACTGGGCGAGACGGCCCCGATAGCCAGCCAGGCCGAGGGACCCCACTCATGTATGAATTCGTGCACCGGGCCTCTAGTTTTAAAATAATACTAAACTTAATATTAACATTCTTCATAGGTATAGTTACAAAAAAAAGAGTTTAGAAGTAAGGCGTGTGTTTTCCATTTCTCTGCGTCTCTTTAACATCTGCTTTGTGTGTTTAGTCTGTCACAATATGTTGTTTGAGTTTGAAGCATATGAAGAAACTTCGCTTCACATTTATATGCCCTTAAGAGGAGGAACCTTTGCTAGTGTTTTTCAGATAATGGATATTCGTCTTTGATTTGATATCAGATCTTGACAAGTGGTTGTCTCTTAAAGGTTCTTGCAATGTAGAATCTGAAACAATGAACTTAATGTATTCTGTTATATTAAAAGCCATGGGTTTATTTGCACTTGGAATGGATCTTACCTGATAGAATTAGTCTGTCTTTTATGTATAGACTAGAGGCCTGGTGCACGAAATTTGTGCACTCGGGGGGTGTCCCTCAGCCCAGCCTGCGCCCTCTCGCAGTCCAGGAGCCCTCAGGGGATGTCTGACTGCCCTGGAGGCAGGAGAGGCTCCCGCCACCGCCGCTGCACTCACCAGCCATGAGCCTGGCTTCTGGCTGAGCAGTGCTCCCCCTATGGGAGCACATTGACCACCAGGGGGCAGCTCCTGTGTTGAGTGTCTGCCTCCTGGTGGTCAGTGCGTGTCATAGCAACCGGTCATTCTGCTGTTCAGTTGATTTGCATATTAGCCTTTTATTATATAGGCTATTACTACTTAATTGGTACTTTTAATATTTAGTCACTTGCCTTTTCTGTTAAATGCCCCAATTTCTCAAAAATAGAAATTGGGCCCAGCCAGCGTTGCTCAGTGGTTGAACGTTGACCTATGAACCAGGAGGTCATAGTTCAATTCCCGGTCAGGGCACATGCCCAGGTTGCGGGCTCAGTCCCCCAGTGTGGGACTTGCAGGAGGCAACCAATCAATGATTCTCCATCATTGATGTTTCTCTCTCTCTCTCTCTCTCTCTCTCTCTCTTTCTCTCTCTCCCTTTCCCTCCCTCCCCCCTTCTTCTCTGAAATCAATAAAAATATATTTTAAAAAAATAGAAACCAGCCCCTATGTTTTCCCATTTTACTTTTGTAGGAGAACCAAGGCATCTAGACTTGTTTCCATTGCACTTTGTACATTGCTTTTTGTTTTGAATTTAATTTTTCACTCTTTTACTGAAATAGACTCTCTGAGTAGACTGCAGTCATGATAAAAACAAAACAAAACAAAACAAGACAAGACACCCACATTTATTCTGAAGGCTGTTGCTCCTGCAAGGGAGTCTGCCTGCTTTTGCTGGGGAGCTTTGAGGAGGGAATCTAGGTCAGTAGCAGTGAATGAAGATGCGGGGTGAGCCTCTGTCAGACATGCTCATGAGACGCTGTGGGTGGAGGCGGCTGTTCTCTGCGCTGTGCCTGAGAGCTGCTCGGGGCTGGGCGGCGGTCCTGCTGTGGAGGGTAACCAGTGCCATCCACATCTTAAAACATCCTTCTCCAGCATGGGGGAGGAGATGGACAATCGTGGGGTTTACCAAAGGGTAAGAAATATAAGCAGAAAAAATGTATCTGTAAGCACCATCACTAGTCTTTCAAAGTTTATTTTGGAAATGATAGGCTATTGTGTGCATTCTTTTGGGGCTCCTAATGCTTTTCATACTAAGTGTAAATTACTTTCCAAGAAGTTTGGTGTATAGTGGAAGACAGAGGGAAAGACAGAGAGAAACATCGATGTGAGAGAAATACATTGATTGGTTGCCTCCTGTATGAGCCCCGACCAGGGCCGGGGCCAGGGAGGAGCCTGCACCCGAGGTACATGCCCTTGACCGGAACCAAACCTGGAACCTTTCAGTCCACATGCCGATGCTCTGCCTACACAGCCACACCAGCCAGGGCTTATACACTTTCTAAAAAGTTTTTGTCAAAGGCACTAGCAGGTATGATTGTTTTATATTGTACTAGGTTTCCTACAGAAACTCAACTCCAGTGGGGAAACTGGTACGTTGTAACTTTTGTTCCATGTTTCTATTTGCAGGGTCTCCAACTGCATTTCTTGAAGAGAAAATGGCCTTCCAGGGGTATCAGAACAACCAGAACTGGCCAGAAAATACAAACTTTTACTTTGAACCCGAGCAAGTGGTGAATCCTATCCAGACTGGTAAGTGCAGGCTTGCCTGTGACTGCTGAATGCAAACTAGACATAAGCATGAGAAAGCCACAGCCACCACTCGGATCAAACGTTTAGCCTCAATACAGCTCGGGAAGTACAAGTGTAGCTGAAGCCCTGGACGTGGAAGTGACCCTCCTCTCTGGGCCTCTCTCCGTCGTAGGCACATGCCCTCTGGCTCTCTCCCCTGCAAAACCTGTTTTGAATAAAGTAACTGAAATTCATATTCATTGAAGTTTAATTCTTCTAAAAGGAAGTATTACAATAATAATAGCACAATTTTTTCCTTTTCATTGAATGTATTGGGGTGAGTCTGGTTAACAAAATTATACAGGTCTCAAGTGCACAGTCCACACACAGCTGTACACTGTTGTGTGTTCACCACCAAGTCAGGTCTCCGTCCATCAGTCACCATTTCATAGCACCGTTTGTTGATGCCTGTTTTGCGCCAGGCATAGTGCTACAGCCTGTATATATGTGTATGTGTGGGTGTGTGTGTGTGTGTATATATATATATATTATATGTGTTTCTTACCTAACTCTGCCAAGTATATATTATACTCATTTGACAGAAGAGAAAAACCAAGACTCACACCCACTTTCTACAAAATTCAAAGTAATCTGTGGAGTCAGAGGCCTGTCTGAGCGGGAAGCGGTGAGGAGCGGATTGCAGGAGGCCTCACGTGGAAGCCTCAGTGCCTCCGGGCCGAGGGACCTGGCTGCGAGCTCACGTTGTCTCCACTGAGATGGGGCTTTTTTGCTCTTGGACTTACAGGGGACACGTAGCTGGTTTCAAATTAGTGAATATTTATTGATTTCTTACATGTACAGTGACATTACCTCAATTTATTGAACTTACTATTGACAACACACGTATAACCAATCAGCATTCACTGTAGGGTAGTAAGGAATGCTGTCTTTGCAGTAGTGTTCCCTGGGGTTGAGTTTTCGATCCCTTTTCCCTCCAGATCCCTACCAGATGCGCTGCGGTGACGGCCTGGAGGATCTGCTCTTCTTTCCCGGCGGCGCGAACAGCGCTTCCGCACTGACGCCGCAGGGTGACCCTCTGAGAGACGGTTACGGTATGGCTCCTCCCGCTGGGCTGGCTGCTCCCTTCAGACAGTTAACGTGGTCTTTACCCATCACCTTTGAAGTTCACTAGGCACAGCCCTGCTTAGGGGCTGTGGCTGGGACAGGCGCTTTCTAGACCAATCGCAGGAGAGAATTCAGTTGGGCTTTCTGGGCTGCTCACCTCGCGTGATGGGATCTTGAATTCTATGTCCTACGGCCAGATTCTGCCTCCACATTTTAGTGCCTCATTCAATGGCCTTGGGCAAGTTTTGTTTATAACTTTAGTTTCTTTTATCTAATAAGGGGCCAACAGTAGTTCCTACATTAAAGATGAGCTAAGATCAAATCAAATTATGTAAAAGCATTTTGCATATTGTTCATTACATAGTAAACATGAAACAGATCTTAGTTATGAATTGGGAGTATCCACATTGATGGTGCTGCATAACTTTCACACAGAACTTTTCTTCTCCTCACCTTGGGTCTCAGCGGGACTATGTAACAAGAAGACAGGTGAACCAGAGCAGAATAGTTTATTAATGCATGTAGCATTCACCATGCAGGAGAAAAGCAACACAAGGTGGTTTCTTAGAATTTCTGTTTCTGTAGCATCTTCAGTAAGAGCATGACATTTGTAGAGAAATGACAGGACAAAGGAAGCCATTTTAGACTGAAGGCGGCAGCCTGAGGGGCAGGGTGCGGAGGGAACTCATGGTTTGCCTGCAGCTTGCTCTGGACCCCCTCTGGGCTGGGAAGAGTTTAATCTCAGTAAAATCTCAGGCAGAAATGGGGGCGGGGGTCCTTTTCTAGGTTTGCTGCTGCTTAATTGCCTTCAACTCAAACTAATTTTTCAGTCAAAAAGACATATTTTGGTCCCCTTCACTGCCCAGCATCAGTAAGTCCCACTTCAGACAGTGCTTGTGATTCTGTCTTTGTAAAGATTCTGGCTAATGGCCCTGGCCGGTGTGGCTCAGTGGATAGAGCATCGGCCTGCGGACTAGGGGGTCCCGGGTTCAATTCCCGTCGAGGACATGTACCTGGGTTGCGGGCACATCCCCAGTGGGGGTGTGCAGGAGGCAGCTGATCGATGTTTCTCTCTCATCGATGTTTCTAACTCTCTATCCCTCTCCCTTTCTCTCTGTAAAAAACCAATAAAATATATTTTAAAAAAGAAAAAAAAGATGCTGGCTAATAATATGTTTCATTAGGTTTTTCTTTGGACTCTTGGGAGAAGGATGTTAAGTGAGTTGACCTTGATGTTACCCATCTAGTCTCCTGATACTTAGATTTTGGCTTTGGCTCCTGTTTTCCCAGTTCACTAGGTAGTGAGTCATTTAGATGCATTGACTTCTTTCCTCACAGCACCTTTCTCCTCTCCTTTTATGCTCCCTCGCTTTCCCCCAATGTAACCCCTATCACTCCACACCCAGCCACCTCAGTCACCTCCTGACTGAGTTCCTGCTGCCTTTTAAAATCCGTCCTGATTAGACCTGGAAGATTGGCCCCTCTGCGCCCTGTTCTGTTTGTCATCTCGTTTTCATGAGTAAGACTCAAGGTGCCTTGTTTGTTTTCCCTGCTCAGGCTTAACTCTCTCTGGCTTTCCAGATCCCCTGTGCACTCTGACCGTCTTTCCCTGGCTGATACGCAAGGTGTGCAGCATTGAATCAGACGGACCTCATAGTCCCAGACACATCTCGCCCTGGTGGCCTCTCTGTACTGCTTTTTTGCTCATTGTTCTCCGTCCTTGACATTGACTCCTCTCTCCTCTTCTTGCTCTTGCTTCTCCTCAGAAGCCTTCTGTGGCTATTCTGGTCCTTGTGGTTGATTTTAAACTCTGACAGCACCTCGTTCATACTATAACTTCTGTATTATTTGATCTATGTCAAAGATCTTGCCTCTCTAGCTAAACTGTAATAATGTTGATAGCAAGAGGTTATTAAATGCACTATTTTTTTTTAAAAAAATATTTTATTGATTTTTTACAGAGAGAATGGGAGAGGGATAGAGAGTTAGAAACATTGATGAGAGAGAAACATCGATCAGCTGCTTCCTGCACACTCCCTACTGGGGATGTGCCTGCAACCAAGGTACATGCCCTTGACTGGAATCGAACCTGGGACCCTTGAGTCCGCAGGCCGACGCTCTATCCACTGAGCCAAACCGGTTAGGGCTTAAATGCACTATTAAGTCTGGCAGTGGACAGCATAATAATAATCTTTTGACATTATCTAGTTATTAATAATTTACAAAGCATTTCCACAAAATTGTTTCTAACTTTGAAAAAGGAGGTGTTAATCTCTTTATGGGTGAGAAAGTTAAGACCTCGATTCTTTACTATACATTATGTTGTATCAGTTGTGGTGTTGAATCTTTGAAACGCACGCTGGGAGGTTGACTCAGCACTCCAGGGCTATGGTGACACTGCACAGCCTGCTCACTAGCCAGGAAGCTGGAGAATGTTGGAGCGTTTCCCCAGAACTTTCTTGCTTTGTTTTCATTGGCATGTTCCCTTAGGTCTCCATGCTGTGGCAGTAGAGAAAGCTTACTTTAACTGTCAAACACCTTCTTCCCCCCATGTTGACATGTTTGTTTGTGTTTCACTATTAGGTCACCTTCCTTGCGACACATTTACTCCTGAAGCAGTTGTACCTCAGGGCTGGCCTGTGGAAGCCCCGCACTCCCCCCAGGCGGGGGTCTTCATTTCCCCAGAGGCCACACCACCTCTGCAACCCACAGCAGGTAAAGGATTAGAACCCCTCTTTATTGGTGTGTGGTGGCAGTATTTTTTAGCAGCATATAACAGTGTAAACAAAAATGTCAGATTTGTCACAAATATTTTAAAACTTATATTACTGATTTCACAGCTAGAGAAATGTAGGTGTAGTTGAGATATAAGACTTGGGGTTAATGGGCAAAGAAAATCCCTTTTTAATTTGGTGCAGATTTCAGATTCTTGGGCCCACATTCCCTTTCTGACAGTAATTATAAACCTGTATTGTTTTTTTAAACATTGGGTGTTTTTTTCTTCTTTGCCTTTTCTCCTCCATTATTCGTTCTCCCAATAGCCTATTCTTTTACGTATTGGGACTGTCAGAGTAGGCACAAAGGCATTCACTGGCCAGCTTCTTACTTATGTTTGGGGTGTTAGGGTCACAAAAGCCAGATATTCCTGTGCTCTAGGAAAGTGAGTTTTGAATGCAGAACTCTGAGCAGACTATGATGGCTCCTTGAATGTCCAACGTATTTCCCTTAGAGCCAGCCGGGAAGAGAGACATGGCATCAGAAGAGAGGGCATCGACCAGAGCATCGGAAACGATGATGGGACTGAAGGCTGCTGACACGGCACCATCTAGAGAAACAGAGATGGCCCTGCCTCAGGACATGGCGCCAGTCACAGAGACAGAGACACTGGCCACAGACGTGGCATCACCTACCAAAGAAGATGTGTCCTTTGCCAAGAACATGGACTCACCCATTGAGTCAGACGTGGCTGTGGTCACGGACGTGGTACTGCCTATAGAATCAACGGAAACCCCAGCCAAGGGTGCAGTGCTCTTCAGAGACACAGAGAGGGCACCACCCATAGAAATGGACGCGGCTCCAGCTGAAGGCGTGGTGTCACTCACAGAAAGGGAGATGGCATTGGCTAAGGACATTGCATCACCCACAGCCAAGGAGTTGGCTTTGTCCTCGGGAACAGAGGTGGCCCTGGGCAAGGACATGGCTCCGCCCCCAGAAACAGAGGTGGCCCTGGGCAAGGACATGGCTCCGCCCCCAGAAATAGAGGTGCCAGTCAAGGACATGGCTCCGCCCCCAGAAACAGAGGTGGCCCTGGGCAAGGACATGGCTCCGCCCCCAGAAACAGAGGTGGCCCCGGGCAAGGATGTGCCTCTGCTTCCAGAACCAGAGCCATCCCTGGCTAAGGATGTTGCACCACCTTCAGAAACAGAGGTGGCCCCAGTTCCGGTGAAGGACGTGGGAACTGTACGGACACCAGGAAAACCAAGCGAGGGCTCCCAGTTCGCATCTCCCCAGAACGAGGGGCCTTCAGCTGTGCCTGCTGCCATGCTTTCCCCAGGTGCGGACTCACATGTGTTCTCAGTCTTTCTGTCTACCAGGGGGTAGTCTCCATCGGGGCCAGGGAAAATAAAGACAGTGCTTTGCAGATCTGTACACATTCCTACTCTCCCAGACAGTTACTTCTCAGCTCACCTCCTCCAGCACCGCCTTCATCCCCACTCTGTGCCGATCTTGTTCCTCTTATAGATCAGTGAGCAGTAAGAGGGGCCTCACAGCCTCACTCCTCACCTGCCTACCTGACTCTTGTGTCTGTGTCCAGAGACTCTGCCCCTCCTGTTCCTGGGAGGAAGCATCCCTGCTTCTGATTAAAGCCACCTCTGTTTTGTACTAGATCCCATCTCTCTCTCTCTCTCTCTCTCTCTCTTTTAATCCTCACCCAAGGATGTGTTTCTATTGATATCTTTAGTGAGAGAGGAAGCAGGGGAGAGAGAAAGATGAGAGAAACATTGATGTGAGAGAAACATCAGTTGGTTGTTTGCCTCCCCTGTGTGCCCGACTGGGGATTATCAAGATGATCAACCAGAGATGAGCCCCCAGGACAGCGCTCCGGGCCAGCGAGCACCCCGCCAGGGGCTCTCCCTTCTTCCTCTCAGCAGTGCTTTCCCTCCAGTGGGCCCTGCCCACCAGCATGCAAGCACTTGTTATTGTCCCATTTTAAAAACAAGCCCCTCCAATTCCATCCCCCCCACCCCCTCCCTGCTGCCCTCACTGCAGCCCCTCAGTCCTCAAACGCTCCTCCATCCCCAGCTCTGGAAGGTGGAGAAATAGCTGAGTCGTGCTTCTTGGAAACCTGTGTGGTTTTACTGTCACCTTTAGAGCCAGTCACAGCCGTGGGCCAAACGTCCGCCTTGCCACCAGACGAGGCATCTGTGCCAGAGAAACTAGAGCAAAGGCAGCCGCTCAGCCGTCAGCCTCCGGAGCCGCCTGCAGCGCCCTCAGGTGGGTCGGGAACCACTGCCCTGGGAGGGTGGGTGCGGCCGTGGCCTTGCCCCTGGTCGCAGGTGGTGATCAGCAGACCGTTGACGAGGTCCGTTCTCTTAGATTTTGTCTTGTTTGGGCAGAAAGTCAGCTTGTTATCTACTTTTCAGTGATCACCACGCCAACCCAGGACACCTAATGCAGGTCAGCTGTTCCCCATTCTGTCCCGTGTGGTCTCAGGCAGGTTACTGAACGGCCCTCAGCTTGCTCTACTGTGAGAGGAGTATGTTGGTTCATGTTCCATGAACCCCTGGTGACAGTGTCACAGCCCGGCCGCATGGGCACCGCCCGGGAGCTCGTCAGAAACGCACGATCTCGGCTCCACCTCAGCCTCCCGAGTTTGCAGATAATTCTTATGCCCTTACCTGTGAGAGGCCCTGCTCCCGGAGGCTTCCTGCCTTCAAGTCCGTTACTTTCTATTGTGAGCCAGAGACGTGCATAGTTTATCATCTTGAGTCTCCGCTTGCTTTCCCATGACGGTTAGAATGTGACCCGGAGGCAGGGACTATGGTTATTTCCTTTACATCCTGTGCTTTGCACACTGAAGAGCCAGCACCAAGAAGTACCACAATTAAGTTTAGGGTGTTTGTTTGTTTGTTTTTTAATATATTTTATTGATGTTTTACAGAGAGGAAGGGAGAGGGATAGAGAGTTAGAAACATCGATGACAGAGAAGTATCGGTCAGCTGCCTCCTGCACACCCCCTACTGGGGATGTGCCCACAACCAAGGTACATGCCCTTGACCGGAATCGAACCTGGGCCCCTTAGGTCCCCAGGCCGACGCTCTATCCAGCGAGCCAAACCAGCTAGGTCAAGTTTAGGTTTTTTTAAGATGTCGTTTTAGTGACTCAGCATATCAATAAAGATTTATCAAGTTCTTAATATGCACAAAATACACCATGCTGAAGCATAGAGGTAGCTAAGTCGGGGCCCTTGCCCTTCCATCATTTTATTACAGCCTGGATAGAAAGAGAAGTCCCCAGGCATGAACACCGAAACCAAAGATCTATGTAATTGAATTAGTTTAAGAGATGGCACCAAATACTAGTAGCTACTGATGAATTTCCAAGTTAAATGTTATAAATGCTGTAGGGTGCGAAAGCCTAGCAATTTTTTTAAGAGAAGCAATTATTGATCTGAGGTATTAAATAAAGGGTAGGATTTGGAGGAATTGGGTGGGTAGGTATTTGGATATTCTCTGGAGGCATTTCGTGGGTCAGGCCTGACAAGAGCTGTCCTGGACCCGCTCTGCGTGGGCCCTCTCTAGGACTCAGATCCTCGCAGCCTCGACATGGAGGCAGGCGCCGGAGCAGTGACTCCTGAAACACTTCCGAGGGGTTTCTCCCCGTCGTTCCCATTCATTGTCCTACTTGGCATTATGTATCGTTCTCTGCCTTTGGGAAAGGACATTTAGGAACAGAAATTGAAATCTAACACATTTGTCTTTTACAGTAGGAGGTTCTGGTTCTGGAACGATGAGATTATTTCTCTGGCCCAAATACGAATTTAGTATCTTTTTCTTTTCCTTTTCTTCTTCTTTTTTAGTAGTATAAGTCTGGTCTGTTTCCCAGAATTTATCTGGTTAGTTTGATAACTGATTAGTATAATATTGGTGACAGACTCTTAGAATTATAAATTCAAATGCCACCAAAAAGAAACAGGAGTTTACCATTTTATTGCAGAATTGGGAATTATGTGCTTAACAAAAATAATGACAAATATAAACAAGTATCAGATGAGAGTCATAGGCAGTAAATGCTTATTATAGGGGTTAGGAAATCTCTGAATTTCTTTTCTCCAGTTTTAAATACTTTGTAAATATGTTTGAAAAAAACATTTAAGATGATCTTTGTTAAATATTTGCTAATCCCAGTTAAGGGTGAGAAATATTTCAGGAAAAAAACTTTTCCTAAATGAATTATGATGTGGGTTGGCGAAAATAGACTACGTAAATGAGCCAATGAGTGGACTTTTTAAGAAACAATAACAAGGAGTTTTCTGTTTGGAATCTTGGCCATCTTCGTGTATTGCAGGTACCCTTCCCACACCAGCCAAACCAGTGTGCAGACCCAGGGACCGCAGGGCCGCCCGGCCCCGGCCCGCCAGGGTCCCTCCTGAGCTGCTGGGAGGCTCTTCTCGGAAGACTCTCGATCCCGGGCTGGGCCCCTGCTCCTTGCCGGAGCCGGGCCGGGTCTCTGGCTCATTTCCCGGTGGTGAGCCTGGGAGCCAAAGGGAAACCACTCCTGCTGACTTCCTTGAGACACAGAGGGAGCCTGGCAGGGAGGCCTGGGAGGTAGAGAGCACAGCAATGATGAAGAAGAAAAAGAAGAGACCAAAGCAAAAGCGATGTTCCCCACCCCGGGGCGGGGGTCCCTGGGGTGATGACAGTGCAAAAGAGGCTGACGGCCGTCCCCTGGCAGCTGACCCACAGAAACCAGGTGTCCTCCCCAGCCAGCCTGCCCCTGTGGGCGGACAGCATGGACCGGCCTCCAGGGAAAGCCCGGAAAAGGATGGTGGAGTTGACTCTGGGACAGCCAAACCGGCCGCTGAGAGCTTGGTCTCGGAAAGCCCCAGGGTTCCTTCCTGTCCTTGGGAAGAACCCCCTAAAGCCGCAGTGAATTCTCAGCTCCAGCTGAGCAGAGAGGCAGAGGTCAAAGGTAACAAGTCAGAACCACAGAGCCAAGACAGGAAATCCCTGCAGCAGGGTGGGTGCAAACCACAGACTGCTCCCCACCTGGCGACCCCTCTCAGACCAGCGGGGTCCCTGGCGGAAGTTTCTGCACACAAAATAGAAGCTCCTTGGGAGGTCAGAGCCCAGGAGGGTTGCTTTCCTGTCTCGGACCAAGAGGCTACGGGGCCAGTTGTAAAACCCACAGCAGCAAAAGAGCTGCCTAATCCGACACGCACTTTGACGGCAAATAATCCACTAGAAAGCAGCCTGAAAGAAGGGAGTGATGGAAGGACAGTGCCCGCGCTGCAGACTGACAACCAGGAAGAGTTCTCTGAAGCAGCTGAGGATGTTAAGGAACGTCACAAGGAAGCGTTTCCCACGCAAGGACAAGAGATGAGCATCTTAGCTTCGGAGCAGCTGCCACAGGGCAAGATTCAGGTTCCTGGGCCCGGGAATGAACCACCTAAGAGAACAGCAGGTGATGGCAAGAGCAGGAAGGGAAGGGGGAGTTCTGGGAAAGTGAGAGCGAGTTCTGGGAAGGCAAAAGCAAGGGCTGAGCTGCCAGTCCTTCCCGACAGCCAGGGAGAGGGCAGAGCTGCCCTGGGGCCAAGTGCGCCAGCCCCTGAAGCAGAAGGAGCGCTTGCTGGGGACGGGAGGGAGGAGCCGAGGCTGGATTCTTCCCAGCAGCCGGGGGTCAGGGCTGCTCTCCCTGAGGCAGGGCTCGCGGGGGCGCCTAAGGAGACTGGCCCCAGTGTGGCCAGCACCTTGCAGATGCTGACTCCTTTGGAAACTAGGTCAGGTATGACTCAGACTCCCAGCACCACAGCAGACAGAGGAGCTGTGGCCATAGGTCTGGGTGTCAGTAACCAGAGCAGAGAAGGAAAGTGTCCGTGGATGGATCGCGAGGCAGCTCCCAGGGTTTCTGAAAAGCCTAAAAAAAGAAGCAGTGAAGGCAAAAACAAAAAGTTTAAAAATAATTACTCTGCACAGCTTGCTAGGGTGGAGAGCAAGGAAGAAGTCCTCAGCCCACCTTCCATAGGGAAGGATGGAGGTGCTGGCACTCCCCATCAAAACAAAGACTTAGCACTCACTTTCCCCACCAGTCACGAGCCTTTGCTCTCACAGACATCAAATACACCCACAGTGGAGGTGGTTGACGGAAAGGCTAGAAATATTGAGGTTAATTCTTTTGAGCTCGGGGCTCTGGGTGGGAAGAAAACAAGTACAGTCAAGGGTGCTGCTGTTATTGAAGTAGCTACCCAGGTGACAGATGTGAGCTGCCAAGACCAAAGCCAGGGGGCGGGACTTGTCCCTTCAGTCCCGCCTGCAGAGCGTAAGACAGATGCAGCCCGGGGGCCCACTGCAGCAAGGGACAGCCCGAGCAAAAGGAGTGATGACGGGAAAAGCAAGAAGGTGAAAAATAGCTTTTCTGAGAAGCATATTTTGGAGAATAAGACAGATGCAGCAGAAAGACATGTTCCCATGGAAGCCACAGGAGACCACAGAATTGAAGGAATGGGCTATGTGGATGAAAATAGAAATATTACATTTACCTGCCCCCGAACACCATCTGAGGTCATGAGTACGTCAGCCCCTCCAGAGGCTGTGCATTCAGCAGCCTGTGAAAAACTGCCCACTCCTAGTCCTCAATTAGTAAAGGGAGGTGAAGCCTTTACAGGCACCTTGGCAGAAATTAGGCAAGGGACAGCTCTGGCCCAGATCTCCGAATGGTCAGTGGTGGGTCATTGCAGCAAAGATGGCGTCCCAGAGCAGGAAAGAGCCCTGGCCGCCTCCGCTGCCAGGCCCCGTGCAAGCCCAGGAGGAGGCGCCCTGACCCTCCCAGCAGCCACAGAAACAGGGCAGCGCCCTGGGGACCGCTGTCCTGAGCATAAAGAGCAGCTGGCTGAGCCCGTGCAGAACGAAGCAGGGGTAGACGGAGGGCGTGTGGGGGGAGAATCTGAGTCAGTGCCCAGGGGGGCATCTAAGCGTCCAGCAGAGGAAATCACAGAACCAGCCAAGGGCCCCCATCCTACAGCGCCCACGGCAGACCATAGCCCACCTGAGCGCAGAGGCCCCGGGGTGCGAGCCGGCGGGAGTCCCGTCCCAGCATCTCCAGTGAACAGAGAGGCAGAGGCTGGGGAGGGCTCTGCTTCCGGTCACACCCCCGACTTCCCCGGAGACGGAGCACACGGGCCCCTTTGCTGTGAGGACCCACGTGCTGAAGGCAGAGCGTCCAGGGGCCCCGGTGGTTTGAATAAGGAGATGGAGGTGACTCTTCCGACTCCAAAAAGTGAAAAGGACAAACGGGAAGGAAGTAGCCTGGCTCCTCAAGTCACAGAGTCAGCAGGTGCTCCCTTGCCAGCACCAGAACTCCAGTCGGATTTCTTCGATGGCCGGCTTGGTGCTGCCCCCTCGAGTGCGGTAGAGAAGTTAGTAGTGACTGCCTGCCAGGGGCTTCAGCTCCCAGAACCCAAAGATAAGGTCTCGGAGGCACCTGAGAAAATGACAGAAAAATCTGAACCGAAGGCTCTGGGCGAAGGGAAGAAGGAAGAAAAAAGAGTGGCAGAGCCAATGAAAGGCTACATGAGACCCACCAAGTCCCGAGGACTTGCTCCACTTTCGCCAAAGTCTGCGGTCCAGGAGCGCGAGAGACCCAAGCACGCCACGCCCAGCGGTAGGAGCCTGCCAGGCGCTGTGTGTGTGCTTGTGGCTTTGAGTCCGCATCAGAGAGGCACAGAGCTTGTGCTTTGGTTCCATCCAGACTTTAATTCTCCGTGTTAATCAGTGATTTGTTGGCATGAAAAACGTGTAACTTCTAATGACGTGTTTTCTGCAGCCCAGGCATGTCTTGGCCCAGCTTGAGGAGGCTGGTGACTTGGTTGCATGCCTTCTTACCCAGCAAGGAGCCTGAGTTTTAGGTGGAGGTGAATTTCAAACATGAATTGCTTAGCAGAAGGCTGTCACTATCCACTATCCTTAATTTTTTGTTTAAAGTGTGCCTTGTATGTGTAAAAGTTCCAGCCACATTTAATCATTATTTTGTGTAAGGAGGAGAAAGCATTTTACATCCGTTTATTCTTATACTATTACTTACTTACTAATTATTGTGACTGTCTAGTTAGTTGTGAACCTGCTTGTACCCCAACCCCCCGCCGCCCCCGGGTGTGTCTCTTGTGCTGGTGGGACTGATACCCAAGCTGCTCTCTCTCAGATGAAGGGAAACGGGCCGCCTGCTGGCGCAGACGTCGCTTGTGCTTCCAGGAGAGACTAGGGGAGGGACCTCGCGAGGCAGCCCATCATTCACAGTCCGCTGCTTACAGCCGCTGGCCCGCAGTTGCCCGTGGGGTAGAGCTTTGGGCTTAGACTGTGTCCATCAAACAGTCTACATCCACGGGCAAGTCTATGAAACTTGCCCATGTGGGATTCCTCATAATTTTGTCATTTTTGGCTCTAATCAATCAAGTAATTCACATGAGATTAAGAAAGATGATTCCTTAAAGATTTAGAAATGTTATCCCCCCCCCCGCCCCCACACACACACACCCTGAAAAAGTATACATCTAACCCTGACTTCCCTGAGCCTAACCTCCAAAAATTGGTTCCTGGCCTTTGAAGGTTTTCACAGCCCACAGATGATGCTGTTTCTCAGTCACTGTCTCCCACCGTGCACGCTGCAGCTACTAACCCCAGAGATGAAGGCGCCACTTGGCCTTGGCAGCCAGCTGGGCTTGGGAGGCTGCGCCATGGATGGGGGGCATGCTGTGGGCTTGTTTGGGCGAAGTGTGTGCTGTGCATGCCTTTGTTCCCAGTGGGGAGCACTGCTGTGTGAGCGCAGGATGCTGGCGGTGGCTCTTCGCATAAGATCTGCTCATCTTCTCTGTGTTTATCTTCTATTAGCTCTCCTGTTGCCAGTGCAGAAAATGAAGTGGAATGCAGGAGCTTCCAGCTTCTGTTCAGGTTTCCAGTGTTCTGTCCAGGGCTTTAATTGAGTTTATAGGTCGCTGCTTTCGTCTCAGCAGGGATGCAGAGGGCACGGACATTTTCTGAAACCTCGCCATCTCTTTCTGTTCAGTATCTTCCAAGAGATGTAGAAAGAGGGTTTGTCTGGTTTGGAAGGAAGCAGAGGCTGTAGAGCTGCGGGCCTGCCTCAGCCAGGCCAGGCTCAGAGCCTGTGTGAGGAGTGGCCTCGCGGAGGGGCTGCAGAGAGGGTGTTGGATTTTGGACAAAATTTATTGTTTCTTCTCTGAATTCTAAAATACTTTTCCCTAATGTGAATGTAATCTATACATTTTAATAGTTAAACCCTTTTTGTACTCGTTTTTGAATAGGTAGTACATTCACATGGTACAAAGGGGGATACACCGTAAAGTGTAAGTCTGCCTCCCCCCAGGCACCCCATCCAGTCTGAGCACAACTTGTCGGAAAAGGGCTTCCTGTGGGGCGGTGTGTTTTGTGACGTTGAAGGGGCGATCGTGATGGACCCCGTGGGTGCTATTGCTCCACAGAAGTCCCCCTGGAGCCAGGAGAGCGGTGGGAGCAGGGCCCCTGGCACGTGGTGCTTGGGCGGGACAGCTGTGGGCGCCTGCACAGCCCTTCCCTCTGCGGGGGCAGCACCCGGCCTCCTTTTTCTCAGCTTCATTCCTTTTTCTCAGTTTGCTTGAGCCCATCAGCTGACTTCCATCAGCCGGGAATGTCAGTTGATGGTGGGAAATTCTCTTGGTGTGAAACTGTATAAATCCCAAATCCTCACAGTGCAGCCTATGAAGAAACGGTTGGTAAGTTTAGAACTTGCTCCACTTCCACACCCGGAGAAGTGCCGCTGGGTAGGTAACACCTTTCCTTAGCAGGATGCCATTCGTGAGGTTCCTTTCCTGTTGCTTCCTCCCACTGACTCTCTCATTCTTTGGCTTTTTCATCTTCCTGGCTGAATATGAATGAAATTTATGGAGAATTCTATATATATACACAACTAAAGAGAAACTTACTATATGCTCAGCACTGTCTCGCATGGTTTTCGCCCTTAAACAGTTCTCCTCACCTGATTTCAATGAGAACATCTAGTCTGCAAGGCGTGCAGCACATGTCAGCTATTCCACTCTAAGGGTTCTTCCCCTCGAATCTCCTCCCCCACTGTTACCCTGTCACCCTCTGGCTGACACGTAGCATTGGAGGGTTCAGGAAACCAGTGACAAGCAACAGCTTCTGACGTGGGCTGTTGCCGACATATGTGCTTGCTTAGAAGGGGAGCGGCCCTGTGTGCTGGGGCAGGTGAGCCTGGCTGGCGCTGACCCGGAGGACGGTGGGTGTGTGTTAGGTCCCATGACAGGGTGTTTCCATAAGTCACTTAGTGTGGGTTTGTGCTGTGGGCGGGTCACTGGTGTGGCCTCCGCTTCTGTGGGCCCCATATGGATGACCTGGTCAAGGGTCACAGAAATCAGATTACTAGCTCCGGTTGTTTTCATTCGTCTGTTTGCATTCCAACTTTTGAAAGTTAATCAGGGAGAATCATGATTCTCTTGATTCTCATGTACTAGGAAATGTTTCTAAAATTTAGTTGAATGTGGTTTTAAAGTGCTTCTGCCGGTAAGTAAAGAAAGAGATAGCAATTGTACAGCCTCCAGCTTTGATGAGTGTCACAGGCCTTGTCACCAGTAGAATGACTGACTTGTATTGTAATGATGACGGATAGAAACGGTCCTCTGCAGACAGTAGCAGGTAGCATTTGGTCAGTCTGGAAAGTAGCTTTGTTGCATGAGGAACGGATAAGAAATGCAGGGCAGCCAGTTGTGGAGCAAATCAGGACCAAAGCCTGGACCCGTCGAGGACTAGCTCAGGGCACAAGGCAAACCAGACCCATCCACCCACCCATGCACCCGCTGAGATGGGCCCTGCGGCGGAGCCAGCTCCCACGAGGCTTGGCATGTCTGTCCTCTGTGGTCTGATGAAGAGCCTTGGAGACCACCTGCGACCAGATGCATGGGAGGGGATGCATGCACTTTCCTCAGACTTGCAGAATGGAGCCTAAACATCTTTAGCCCAAGGCGGCACACTTCAGATCAGCGCCTGCCTAGGTGAGTGGAGTGATGGGACGGTGAGGTCACGTGCTTCAGCACCAGTGCAGAGGGAATTCACCCGTCTGCCCCGAGAGCCTGCTTACTTAGTGTGTGCCAAGCGCTGTGCTGGACACGGAATGGCAGAGTGGACAGGTGTGACTCCCGCCCTTTAGAAGCTCCCAGGAAAGGCACATAGATACAGTTATGCTGTAGCTTCCAAATCCCGAGAAAGGGCAGGGCAAGTGAAGTGTTGCCAAAGCAGGAAGGAGCCAGCTTCCAGGGCAGAAAGGATTTAATGAGCCAAAAGCTAGCCAGAAAGGACCAGGCCCTGGGGCACGAAGCCGAAGCCAGCTGCAGCGGGTGGGGCGGTGCGGGGCAGGCAGCATGCCCGCAGTCCTGGGGTTGACAGGCACTTCCATGAATGTTTGGGGGAAACGGTGCTTTGAAAGAACTCCCATGGGCCATAGATAGAGGGTGGCAAAGGCGAAGCGGGCGGAGTTCTTGGACAGCACGCAGTCTTCAAGGAAAAAGTGGTTACTGGCTCTGATTGGTTGCAGGTAGTAGTCCTGACAGTTCTTGCACGTGGGGCATGCAGTGCGCAAGGCGCCCTCATGCCTGGAGGCGGACGCAAAGCTCCGACATGCATCAGGATTGTGGGCCACAGCCATGAACTGGCTCACTGCTCCACCTGTGATGTCATTTAGAACATCTCGGAATGTGTTTCTGTCAGTCTAGGAGACTTCACAGAGGAGGTGGCGTTGAAGTGAGTTGTGAGTGAGCAGGAGTAAAACCCAGAGGCGCAGAATGCTAGTGGCAGCTGAGCCTAGAATCTGTCTTCTGGTTTATAAGCACGTTTCTTTTCCCCGGGCGTGCTCAACCTTGCAAGACTGCCGGCAGTTCTCACTCACTGCCTGACACATGGGGTGCTGGGAGGTGTGACCGTGCGTCTGTGGCCGCGATGATGTCTGCAGCTCTGAGCTGGACTAGAGCTCTGGAGAGCCATCGGACTGCTGGGTCCTCTGTGCTGGCCATCAGGGAGCTTTCGCCGCATTTGGAGAGGAACAGACCCTTCATCCTTTTTTGTTTTTTAAGACAAAGTTTATTAGGAGTCATAGAGGTAGAGATGGAAGGAGTGAGCGTAGGAGAAATGGGCTCAGGAAACAAGTCACAGGCGAAACCAAAGGCCCTGGAGTTCAGGAGAAAGAAAGCGGCCAGGAAACAGGCCTGGGAGCTGCTGACCCTCCTCCTCCTCCTCCTCCTCGCCTCCTCTGCCTCCTCCTTGGTGTGTGTTGCCAAAGTAACAGTCGAGTCAGACTTTAAGTCACTCTGCCTCTCCCCTCTGTACCAGCCTCTGGGTCCACGTTTTTCTTTTTCGGATTTGATTGAATTTATTGGGGTGACGTTGGTGAATAAAGTTGCATAGGCTTTGGGGTACAGCTCTGTACTGCATCATCTGTCTATTGTATTGTGTATGCACCACCCCCTGCATTCGCACTTTCCTCGGTGAAGCAGGAGGACCTGCTTACTCAGGCAGCCTGCAGGGAGCTCAGAGGCCGGCCTGTGCAGACATCACTTCGCACACATGCCAATGCTTTTGAGAATGGAAGAGTGGCAGAGAACTGCTAAGGAATAAGTCACCCTCCCTTCCTCATTCTCTGCAGTTAAAACAAAACAAGCCCTAGCGGTTCGCTCAGTGGGGAGAGCATCTGCAGGACGGTGAGGTTGCAGGCAGCAGGGGGTGCCGTTCCAGCGTTGCCTGGGCATTTTCTTGTTTGGTCCTGGTGGGGAGGGTTTGGGTCGGCTGTCTGGCTTTTTCTTCGCCTGGGCTCCTCTCTGCCCCTTCGGAATATGGCAGCCAACTCGGATCACCATTGTCTTCAGACAGGCGGCTCCGCCCGCAGGCCAGCCTCTGCCAGCAGGTGGCACCTTGCAGGGGAGGGCAGGCTTATTGGGGAGCTGGGCTCTGGAGCCCAAGTTAAAATCACACTGTGGGGTGGACAGTGCAGCACACCTGTGGTTCTTTGAATGTGGTGCAGCCTTTTGACGGAGATGTGGCAGTTCGAAGTGTGAGCCTGGGAGGCGCCTCACAGACACCCCCACTTCAGGTGAAGAAGCTGCGACTAGGGGCAGTTGTATGACCTGCTCAGAGTCAGAACTGTTACGTGGCACAGAGATCTCAAAACATGGTCTTCCGACCCCAGGCCAAATCATCCCCCCAAACCAGAGATAGGAAGTGTCAGTGAATTGAGTGAGTGAGTGAGTGAGAGTGTGTGCGCGCGCGCATGTGCGTGTGTGTTGGGGGAGTGACCAGTGGGATGGGTGGGTTTTGGGCGCACACCCGATTTCTCTAAGGGATTTTCCAAAGCTCTGCCTCTGGCATGTCTGGACTGCATTGCAACAGCACCCTCCTCACCAGGCTGTCGTCACTTTCCTCGTTTATTGTCCATAACTCTGTGGTTCAGCTGGAAAGTAGATCTTTACAAAGAGAAGAGCTGAGCGGGCTTTGACTGACTCCCTCCCTGAGGCTGTCTGCACCCAGGGTCTCCTCGCCTCCCATTACTAATGAGCCTCCGAGCTGCTGGCACCGCCTTCATCTCATGGTGCCCGCGCTTCCTGTGCCTGAGTGAACGTGCTGTGTAGAGCGAGGACCGGAGCCTGGATTGTTCTCTGACAGGTCTCGCTACTAAACGGCCGAGGTCAGGAGGAAGGAGAGGCGTGGAGGAGCTCAGGTTCAATGGGGTTTCATGTTTTCCTCGGTCGCAGCACTGCCGCTCTGACCACAGCCCTGTGTTGGGTGCTGACGTTGTGAAGGGCGTGCTGGGTGGGGCCCTGCACTGTTGGGGACGTGAGTAAAGTGGCGAGTGGCCTGAGCAGCAGAGAAGCTAGGTGCTCGGACAGAGGCCCCAGGGAGGGAACCGCTCTGAGGTGGCCTTGGGGATCTTAAAGACCCGAGAGGAGTAATCCAACCCGGCCTTGTTTTTCTGAAAGCGCTGCTAAAAACTTCATGAAATCATTGCAGCTGATTGCAGATGGCTTTAAAAAATCAAGCTAACGTTTCCTCATCTTGGGAAAAGACACCTAATGTATTCATTTATATATA